TTTTAAATTTCTATTTAAAATTTCTACATGTCTAAGTTTTTTTTGCCATAATTTATTGTTAAAAAAATTATTAAATATCTGCTGAATTAATTTTCATTATAAAATTATAAAAATATTTTTAATGTCTGTTACCTTCAGTGTTATTGAAATTAATTTAGAAATTTTCTTTTTTAATCCAATTTCTGTTATAATATTAAAGTTAGCCGACGTCCTTAATTTTTTGATTTTTTGTAATTAATTAAATTATAACAAAAAAATAGATTTCAAAAATTGCACTTACAATTTTTTACAAATGAAATTTTTTTTTGTAATAATTTTTTCAATAAAAAGAAAATCTAAAAATTTTTATATTTCTGTTCACTGTAACTTTATCGGAAAAATTTTTTTCTATAAAATTATATCATTTTATCTTGATATAATTTCTTATATAAGATTAACCGATCAATTCAAATGTAACGTTTATAGTGTAAATACTCTCCCGGCATAACCTATAACAGCTGACTTGGAAAAATATTTTCCAGAATTCATAACGTGTCAACACAGCCGAGTGGTTGTTTTATTTTTATGTTATTTATTCGAATTAAAATTTTACGAGCAGGTAAAGTAAAAATTTTAACTTTTTAATAATATTATAACACTCAGTATAAGTAATTTTATAAATAAAAATATAGTTTTAAACTAATTTTAAAGTGTAACATCTGTTGTTTATAAAATTTAGTGAATAAAAATTCAATTGCGTCTTATTTTCTTATGCAAATATTGACTGTGTGTTTTTAAAGTTTATTATTTTAAATATAACAATGTATGAATTGTTATTGAAAAGTTTCAAGCAATAATAATAAAATAAATGTTTTTCTATTTCAGAAAATATCAATTTAAAAACAGTAAATCAAGTACAATAAAAAGACCAAGGACTAAAAGTAATTAAAATGAATCAAAAATACCGCTTTGTTACAGTTACAGGATTAATAGATCAAAATAATTGTTCTGTCAAAGGACTTACTGATCAGGAACGTTACCAGGATCTTTCACATTTAGACTTTTCTTCCTTCAACGACCATTATCATCGTAATTTTCATTTTTTTTTTTTTTTAAATATATTGCATACTTAATAATTTTATAAATCTTTACATTTTTTTTAATAATTAAATTTTCAAATGAAACTTTTTTTCAGATAGCATGATTGAAGTAATGAACCACTTAGGAAGTCTTGGATATAAAATAGTTTCTCAAAATTCTAATAAGGATAATACCCAAACAATTTGGTTACAAAAAGAATTCTAAAGAATTCGGGATAACTATAACTTATTAAAGTATTTTTATATTTTTTGAGAAGAAAAAGTATTTTTTTAACTTGTAACTTTTTATGTAACTATGTAAAATATTTTTAGTGATTCTACAAAATATTAATCACTCAAATTATTATGTTTTAAATTTATAAAATATTTTATTATTTTTATAACTCTTATTTGGATAAATGAAGTTTAAAGATTTATAAATTAAATTAATTAGGTAATTTAATGACGATTACACGACTGAGAATTTGATACTGAAGTTAGCTGTCAGCTGTTCATTTAAAAAATTTTTTTAACAAATCAATTACAATCAAAAAATGCTTTTAAAAATTTTCACTTATAATTTTTATTAATTTTCACATGTGGAACTTTTTAATTAAATTATTTTCATAATAATGTAATTGCCATAAAATCCTAAAAAAAATTTTTAATGTCTGTCAACTTCAGTGTCATCTGAGGATTACAATTTAATAAATAATAAAAATAGAAAATTTATTATATCTTATGTTTAATTTTTTTTATAAAAAAATTTACATACTTATAAAATCATGCAAAATGCATGAAATTGTATCTCTACTTATAAAAATATAAATTGAATTTTTTCTGTTTAATTAGGATGAAAGTTTATAAATAAATTGATCAAAATTACAGTAAAACTTTTTTAAGGTTTTGCAAATGCTAACTTTAAGCTCAGTATGAAACTTAAGTGTATAACTATGCTATAAAATCTTGAGAACCAATCACAATAGTTAACTGACTTATCTTTCAAACGCCATTTTTTTTTTTTACTAACAAATTATCTATATCAAAACTGATACGGCTGAAAGGATTCTCTTCTATTGCAATACAGTTTATTTAAAATAATTTTGATGAATCAAAATGTCAGATTCAATTGTCAATAATGATCCCGATCATAGTATTGTTATTTTGGGAAGAGTTACTAATAAAAATAGCGACTTATTTGGCTTTAATGAACAAGTTAAAAACTATTTACTTCTGAAATACAGCGAAGCAGGAGTTTATTGGTGTAGTAGTGAATCTGGGAAAGAAGAACAAATATCAGTTAAAGGTAAAAAGTGTTTTGAACAAAAAAAAATATTTTTTTAAATAATTAATTACAATTTAAAAATAAAAATTTTTTTAGATTCACCCATGGCTGTCATAAACTATTTAGCGAAACTTAATTATCACATCGCTTTTATATCTGGCTCTCCTATTAACAACAACTATTATATGTGGACTCTAATCAAAAAAGGCGAAAATAAATAATTTAATTTTGCATTGTATGCTTGAGATTTAAAATTTATATATTAAAATGAATTAATTTCAAAAATTTCTAAAATACATGGCATTCATTTATTTTTACGATATTTGATAATTAAAATAAATTAATTGAATTCATTTTATTAAAATTTGAAAGTCAAAAAACTACGAAGTAATCTTTAGGTAATTAATTGAATATAATTTATTTATGACATTAAAGTTAGCAGTCACTCGAGAATTATTTTTAATAAACAAATTTGTTCAAAAAAATTGAATTTTTTATTTTTTTTAATTTCTACATGTCAATTTTTTTTGCCATAATTTATTTAAAAAAAAAATTCTAAAAATTATTCAATATCTGCTAAGTTTATTTTCATAATTTATTTCATCATTTTGGAATAACTAACAAGAAAAAAAAAAGATAAAGCACAATTGGAATAAATCTTAAAATTTCAATTCTAAATTTTTTTTTTAATGAAAATTAATTTAGCGGATATTTGATAATTTTAATAATTTTTTTTTACAAGTAAATTATGGCAAATAAAAATTATAAAAAAAAATTGACATTTAGAAATTTTAATAATTTAAAAATGCTATTTTTTAAAAATAATTTTTTTTGAACACATTTGTTTGTTAAAGAGAATTAAAAAATTGTGAAGTGAAAGCTAAATTTAATGTCAATTTTTTTAGGGAGAATTAAATGTGTGTTATTGAATTGTTGAATGACTGCAAGTAGCAAAATTCGTTACACACCTGTAGACGTCACATCGAAAATTTTAAATAATCCAATAGAATAATAGTCTGTCCATTCTCACGTTGGTAATTGTTGAATAATACCTATATAATATTGTTGTGAATCCGAAAAGATTGATCACAACGCTCTCTGTATATTAATATAGAATTACGTATAAAAAGATGGCTGCAATAAATAATAGCGGGAAAAACCCAGTAAGATTTAAATAGTATCAGTAAGAGAAATAAGAATCTTTCAAATATCGTAAACCTTTCTATTTTAAATTCTATTGTTAAGTATGGGAATTTTTCTATCATAAATTTTAGGGTATAGACGAATTTATAATTACCGGAAACTCCCAAGGGAAAACATAAAAACTTTCAAGTGCCGTGCAGTTAGTCTAGACATTCTGAGAAAAATTTCTTTGTTAAAATAAACTTACGCTTGTAATTGTAATGGTCACTTAGAATAAGATACCGAACGTTTTGGAATATTCTTTACGAAACTAGAGAAAACCCAGAGATCTTTATTTATTAATTTTTATTGTCATAATCTTTTAAGAAGCTTATTTTCCAAAACGTTCGCTAAAAAAGGGATTACTCGAGTACCCAAGGCTAGGTTATAAAAACCAGATATCCAGGCGGGCTGCAAATGACCTGGAAACATCGAGGGTCATCGTGACGTCATTTCAACATGGTCCCATTTTGCCAACTCGAGAAGGGATGCTAGCCGAAGATGAGAGCTGCAGAGGCGCGCGCAACTACCCTCACTATCCTCTGGGCCTCTCCCGCTCCAAAAGTATGAACATCTCAACCAGGGGAGTCGAAAACCAAGGAACAAGAGGAGACTTATCAATAAGCAAGACTTAAGTACGCCACGCGAATATTTTCTTTTTCGAAATTATTGTCGGTACTTTTTATTTTGTAATTCATTGAATAATAAATAATAGATTTGCGCGCAAGGCAAATCTAAATTAAACTAAAATAATCTGAGTATTTTAAATTTATTATATATATATATATATATTATTTAATTCAACTTATCCGAATTTAAATCTATTCTCCCGCCTTAATCTATTTACTGCGAGTTGAACGCCCTACCGCGTTCCAACGGGCGAATTAAAAGAACTCAATAAATTTACTATAACCAATTTTGGGCTATACAACATACCATACCGCTACGCTACGCCGGCGATGAGCGACCTCTTGGCTCAAGATACTTATAAGCCCGACACTTCGGCAAACATTAGGTTACCGTTGCAACAGTCGAGTTAGGAATTCCGATATTATACCTAAGTGAGGACTTGCCACAGACTTATCTAGTCAAGTTCGATTTTGATAGACCAAGCTTCAGAATATGCCTTTAGTTACTGTTCGGTAAGCTTTTGGTTACCGTTATTTCGTACCAGTTTGGCAATTCATGGCATACCGAACTTAGGCACTGCCACAGTTTTGCCTAAATGAGCCCGAGCTTGAAGAACCTAACTTCGTATATATATATATATATATATATATATATATATATATCTAGTTGTTACGCCAATCGACGAGACTATATATGTATGTCTCATTTCTATGAAAATAACGGAAACAGTACGTCAAATTTTTTATTGATAAACTAAGTTCTTCAATGACTAATGAGATAATTTTATGTTTCATTTATTTATCAACTGCGAAGAAGTACTTAAGTATCATAGAATTTTTCAACTAGCTTATAGTTACATTTTTATGAAACTTTTAAGAATTAAAAAAAAATAAATTTAATTATTTTAGTATCGACTAGAGTTTCAAAAACAACTTACAGCAAAATAGTAAAAAAATAAATTTTGTATCAAAATGCCTAGATACTTAGTTTTACACGGAGGACTCACTTTCAACGATAGCTATGTTTACGGTCATGATGAGCATCTTGGTTCACTTTTGAAACAAACTTTCAATAAATCGTCTGGAATATTTCGGAACAAGCATTGTTTGGGCCTAAAAGGTAATTTCATAGTTAGTAAAATTTTATTTTTAAATAAAATTATCTATAAATTACAATTATTTTATTATTTATCATTTCAGAGCATCCAGTAATAGTTCTAAATTATTTGACTTCTTTGAATTTCCGTATTGTGAGTCAGTCCAGCCCAGGCGAGCGAGCTGACCAAGTAATTTGGACATTGACAAGAGAATAATTACAAGAAAAAATGACACTTAAGTTATGAAAATTAATTAAGCAGATATTTAATAATTTTTAGAACTTTTGTTAACAAATAAAATAAGAAAAAAAAATTGACATGTAGAAATTTAAAAAAATTAAAAATGCAATTTTTTTTAAATAATTTTTTACAGTTAATTTAATTGTTAAATAAAATTAAAAATTTGTCAAGTGACAGCTAACTTTAATGTCATCTTAAGTTAGCAGACATTTGAAAATTTTTTTATTTTTCTTAAAAATTAAACTTGCCATAGAAAATTATTTTTAAAAAATCTAATTTATAATTTTTTAAAGCTTCTAAAGTTAGAATTTTTTTTTAAATAAATTTATCTATTAAAAAAAAATTCTAAAAATTATCAGATGTCTCTAAATTTCAAATCAAAAAAATAAGTACCTTATCACTCAGGTGTAACGTGTTTTTAAATCACGCACAACTTTAAAAAAAATCTATTTTATAACATATTTTAATTACACAATTTATTTTTAAGTATTAAAATTATCTAAAATATTTATAGAAGTCTGTGTATTAATACTAAAGTTAGCCGACGTTTTGAATTTTTTGATTTTGCTTGAATTATTAAATTAAAACTAAAAAATATTTTTTTTTAATTTCACTTGCCGTTTTTTAAATTTTTTACAAATGAAATTTTCAAAAAATTTTTTTGTAGTAATGTTTTAAATAAAAAAAAAAAAAATTCAGTATACTGTTGACACCCGAGGGTGACAAACGTGCCTTAGGTATAGCGAGTTATCGAGTTAGTGTTAACAAGTATAATTGAGTGTGCTTTTGATTATAGTGACTGTTAAATCTCAGTGAAATAGTTAGGTGGTTAATAAAACTTACGGGTTGCTACAACAACCCTTCATTTTAACTGCTCTTCTCACCGAGAAGAGTAGAAACGCAAAAATGACAAGCTCACAGGAAAAGATCCTACGCCACAGTAACCGAACGACCAACCAAAGAACAAGCTATCATAATCGAAGCTATCGATAAAGTACCAATTGAAGAATACTGCAAAGAAATTGGAGGGAAAATTGGACCAAAAAATGTACACTACGTGTCAAAAATCTCCCGAGAAAGAATTTGTATATATGTAGCAAGTAGTGAATTAGCCCAAAACCTCATTAATACCCACAAGTACATTCATATACAAGGTCAAAGACTTCCGATAAAGCCATTGTTTACACAAAACAAAAGAATTATAATATCTAATGTACAGCCGTTCATCCCCAATGATGACATTGAGCAGGCATTACTTGCTTCAAGAAACATTAGACCTGTATCAGGTATTTTGTCACTTCGAGCTGGTGTGAGTGACCAAGACTAAACACACTGCTTCAGTTTCAGGCGTCAAATGTATGTTAAACGCGAAGACGCTGAATTAATCCCAGGACAACTACAAATCAAGTATGACAACACCAACTTCTGGATTTACTTTTCGAGTGATCAGGTCAAATGTTTTATGTGTAATGAAATTGGACACAGAGCAAAACAATGCCCAGAAAACCTTGAGAAAGAACAAGACGAATTAAATAATGAACAGATATTAACAAACCAACAATTTCCCGAAATAATAAAAAAAAAAGTAATCAAATAGAAACAGTAAACAACACACATATACCGATGGACACAGTACACGAAATCAGTGAAGAAACAAACCAAGTAACACAAACATCAAGCATCACATTAGACATCCCCGTTTCTAGCCAATCAACCCTGGACAACTAACTTGCAAATGATCAGAAAATCGCCACAAATAAACGTCTTCACTCCGATACCGAATCAATTCCCTCTACAACAAGCAAAGAAACAGCACCCTTTAGAATTCCCAAACAACCCCCCATCGAACCTAAAATAAAAAAAAAAAAAGCCAAAACAAACGAAACAAATAAAAAAGACACAATACCAATAAATGAATTAGAGAGCGAAATAAACACAAACGCAAGTAAATACCCACTCACGTATTTACAATTATGCAACTTCATAGAAAAAGTCGTCAACAAAATTCCCCCAAAAGAAGCAGCAATCGAATTCACTAATGATCCCACAGAGCTCATCATAATGATGTCAAAT